TTAAGATTAGGATTGATATTCCTAGCTTGAAGAAGGTGGACAAAGATTTGAAGTAAAACATTTAGGAGGACATTTTGGTACATTATGAATTCTTTTCTCTATTTGTTTCAATTATAATTGCTTATTTACTTATAACCCTATGCTATTGTATTGCAGCTGACATTTGATATTCTCGCCACTAAGCAAATGAGAGACCGTCTGTTTAAGCAACTTGATGCATGGTGGAGGGATTTTAAATCCATGCTTACAAAACACTAGATTCACGGAAAAAGAAAGGGTGAGCATCTTAAGGAACGATACCAGTTCATTAGCGATAAGGCATGGGAGAGTTTTGTGAAGTAACATGAAGACCTTGCATTTTAGGTTTGACTTCTTCAAAATTAGTTTTTAATCAGTTCATACTTATTTAACTAAACTAACTTTGTTAAATCTGTTTCATTGTCATAGGCATTAAGTCAGAAGAACAAGCAAATATCTGAGCAGAATTTGTGTCCACATACTATGTCTCGTGCAGGGTATGGTGGGTTAGAAAGAAGTACGATGGAGAAATGGATAAAGAATGAACATATGGCTCCTGCTTTAGATCCTACTGGCTATATTCCACCCATTAGCATCCTTCTCGTCAAGAAAAATGAAAGGCGGCGAGGATTAAAAAAAGTCAATACATTACTCCAGAGTCTACTGTCATTGCTGAGAGGATTGTAAGTAATATTCATACATTATGCTTCAAATTGTCTTTTTCAATTATCTTAAATTGAATTTGTTGCTTTAATGTTACAGGATACACTTGAGGAGCAATTATCCCAAGTTACATTCGTTTCTCAATGACGAATGGATATCTTAGCCACTCCTATTGGAAAGACTAACCATCCTGGTAAATTCAGAGGGGCCTCTAAAGGGATTGGTATTAAATAATTTTTTAGCTCTGGTTCACGAAGAAGCACTGGATCATCCTCTACTAACATGGTATCTAAAGAGGAGCTAAACCGGCGATTACATGAAGAAACAGGGAGAGTTCAAGCTGAACTCAGTGAACAACACAAGGCGAAGATGCAAAAAATACATGAGGAGTTCGACGTCAAGTTTCAACAGGCCATGATGATGATGGGCATGGCCGGATTCCAGATGCCTCAGGTGTCTGAACCTTCTCAGGCAATAATCACACATCTTTTCAAATCTTGTAAAGGTTTATTTAATCCATGTAAACTTATTTAATATTCCTTAACTAATTTCATATTATGTTTCAGGGTTCACCTGTGATAAAAAGTGGGAAGCGTAGTAATAATTAGACGCAGCACTTGATAGTGTCTGACCCTGATCCTAACTCTGACCCTGTCAAAGATGATAGAATGTCGTGTGCTCTTTATGTGGACTTTGAAGATTCAACTATTCATGTCGCTAATGGTCGAGCATTCTTAGGCACAACAATCCACTGCATGAAATTTATTAGGGACCAAGTAAGGCTGACGATGGATAGGATTCTTCGTGGTCATGGTGGTACACCGGTACCCAACCCTACTAATGAGGTTCAACTATTAGCTTAGGCTAAAAGACATTTCATTTTATGGCCAAAGAGACTTATTGCAAAGCTATTGACAAAGAAGGCGACAATAAAAAAGGCCACAAAGAGCGCATCATCAGATCCTATACTCCTACATCTTCCTGGTGATCTTACGCTTATGTATTCCAGTTTGGAGGTTCTTCATTCCATAGTAACAAACATGGATAAGCCTATTACTTTCTAGATACCGCTGGGGATTGTGGGTTTGGATGTCATATACGACTTCACCCTTGACAAGAAGGACCTCATTCAGTTCCTCAACTTTGAGGAACTGGATATAGTCTTCATGCAGCTGGCTATTTTGTAAGTTACAATATCATTTTCTTAATTCATGTTATACTTATGCATATCCTAATGTTTCTTATTTGAACAACAGGCACTTTACTCAAGTCTGTTAGCAAGCAGGACTTGAAGGAACATATGGCTTGATATGTCCTCAAAGGGTGCAGGAAATAGTCAATACTGTCGAAGCGAGGTCGATCTACATGATGACCACAATGACTCAGATGAGAAAGCAAACATATTTTGCACCTTACATGGAAGGGTAAATATATTATTGTATTTGAGATACACAAGTTGTATGTATAGGATTATAATTAACATGGTTCATATTTTGCAATTAACATTGGACCCTAATTGTTTGTGCCCCTTTTGATAATAAAGTCTACTGGTTTGATTCCCTCTGTGGAAGTTCATTTGAAGAAACCAGAGACATCATCAACACATTAGTTTATGTTTATATAGTTATTACATGTGAAGTTTATAAAAATATGCTCTAATATCATTAAATTTTATTATTGATAGGGCTTTTTATAGTTTCAATATTGTGGCAAAGAAGCAAAATAGACAACCACTAATATGGATTCTCCCAAAAGTATGTTGTTTTGAGCTAAATATATACTTTTAAGTCTTTTTCAATAATTAAAGTTAATGTTTATAATCAAAGTCTAATATTTAATTTTATATTTTATTTTGTTAGTACCATTGTCAACAAGATAGTATTGAATGTGGATATTATGTCATTTGCTACATAAATGACATCATTGAGACAGGGGTAACTGAGAAATTAGACGAGGTAAAGATAAGTTACACTACATGTAATTCTTTAATTCTTTTCACATTTTTTATTAAGTTAACTACATTATTTTTTAGGGAAAACCATATTGGAGGTACCTATACTTTTTTTCCATTTTCAATTTGGTACCTACGTGTTTTTTGTTCTTAACTAAATCTTTATTTTTCCTCTATTAACATCATTAATCCTTATGTAGAGACTAAAAATATCAATAGAACAAAGTTATAAGAGCTAATGTTGCTAAAAAGATAAAATTAAATGTTTAATTAAAGGGAAAAAAACACATAGGTACCAAATTAAAAATTGAAAGAAAGTATAGGTACCTTCAATATGGTTTTCCTATTTTTTATTTACAGGTATTTCAAAATGCTGCGCCATATCAAATGGATGAAATCAACTTGATGAGAGACATTTTGTCAACAATATTGCTAGAGAATTTTGAAATTTTGAAATAGTTAGGTCATTCCTTAAAAATTCATTGTTAGATTTTTTTCTCTTATTAGTTTTCCCCCTATACATATTCCTTAGTTCTATTGTACATATAGAATTCACTTAACTTGTTATTATTCTTTGAATTATACCTTTACTTGTTGTTAGGAGAAGTAGCTTTAGGATTGGCTTCTGTCTTACCTAGACATTTCAATGCTTGCTGCGCTATATGTATATATATTAACTAGCTAGTTAATTATTTGTTCATACGGTCATCTTGAAATAGTTCTACATATTATGCATTACCTGGATTTATTTGGAACTGTAAACTGCAGGGAGGTAAAAAGAAATTCACACAGTATTATCAAAAAAAATTAAGTTTTTAACTATAATAACTGCTGTTAAAACGATTTAACACGACAGTTCTGTTAAAAACCGCCGTGGAAAATTGAATTTCCACAGCTGTTATGTTTTATTTACCTTTCAATGTTGACTGTATCCACTGCGCCTCCAAAACTGCCATGAAAAACCTTTAATAACCGCCATTAAAAACCTTTTTTCTGGCAACTACACTATCTTCCCAAAGTTCATCAAGATGATTCTTCAGTTGAGTTTGAAGCTATTGACAAAAAAGAAAAAGGCACAGCATAAGAATGAGAAAAATTAACTAGCTTAATAAAGTTGAAGAGCAATAAGGGGAAGATAAGAGTAATGCATTTTGGTGGGAAGTAGGCATATGACATTCATAACCACAGGAACGTGATATCCTTCAAACTGAAATTTAATTAATAAGACATGAACTTGTATGATCAACACCAAAACCAAGCTTGATAACATAATTCACATCCAAAAGTCCAAAGCATGCCTAAATCACGTCCAAAAGTCCAAAAGTTCTTCCTCTGCATTCTATTAAAAACTAGACGACAATTCAAGGGGGACCCACGCATAGAGTGCATAGTAATGAGACGCGTATAAGGAATAAGCTCATTGCTGAATTGAGTTAGAGGAACAAAAATTGAACCCGCAGGTTAAACTAAAAATACAGCTTGAGTTACAACTTAAATCCAAAAATCAGAGAAGAAGCATCAAAAAGTAGAAAACCAAGAAACATCATTGATCACCATAGAGCCATCAGCGGCCAAACCGAAGCACCAACAACCACCAACGACCCAAGTCTAACATTGAAGCTCGTCACTTTTGCATATTTGATATTTCGGATCTTCCTTTGCCTTTCGTGAAATCGAAGCTCCACTAATCTGAAATCTTAAAATGAAAAAAGAAAACTAAGGCACTAATGACGAGGACATGAGTAAGTGAGGTCGGAGATCAATGATAGCAAGTTTATGTCCGACAATGGAGGCATAGTGGAAGAAGAGAGGAGAGGAAGAAGAGAAGGCATAGTTGAAGAGGAAAGGAAGAGAAGAGAAAAGAAACGAACAGAATGAGGATGAAAGAAAGAACAAAAGGAATGGGGGTATTTTAGTCTTTTTGTAATATATTACTACCTCCGGTCCTAATTATAAGACCCAGTTGATTTGAGGAGATTAAGGAAGTGAGTTAAGTTAGTTATTTGTAATAAATAAGTGTTGTCATTCCTAAAATATCCTTACTAATTAAGTATATTGGCTAGAACTATCATTATTAGAAGAACTATCTTGAAAAAAAATGCATAAATATGATAGACAAAATGGATTGGGGTCTTATTAGGACCAAACAAAAAGTATTTATATTAAGGAATAGTATTATATTTAAGGTCCGGTTTTTGACAGTAATTTTTCTTATTTTAAGGACTCATTTTATAATTTCAAGGGTCTTTCTTGTGATTTTTCGAAAAGAATACATAAAATAAAATAAGTTAAAAACTAAAGAAAACTATAAATACAAAAAAGTCAAATCCAATCGGCTGCTGAAAACAAATTCCAGAACGTTCGGTCCCGAAATGGCGGTCTACACAAATAAATGAATAATCCCCATCGTTTCTTGTCTTCTCCCTGTGGTCGGCTCCGCTCTCCAGCCATGGCAGTAAACCCTAAGTCCCCTTTCGATTTGACTCTTCTCACAATTTCTTTGTTCTTCTTCACCATAATAACACCTTCTTTCTCTCTTTATCTTCACGACGATTCTAACCAAACGGTGTACGAAATTCTCCCCATATTTGGCCTCCCAAGTGGCCTTTTACCGGATTCCGTCGTCGATTACTCCCTCTCTTCCGATGGTAGTTTTGTAGTGCATCTGAAGAAGCCTTGCTATGTTGAGTTCGATTACTTGGTGTACTACGACACCACCATCACGGGCAAGCTCAGCTATGGTTCCATCACCGACCTAGAAGGCATCCAAGTGCGCCGGTTTTTCTTGTGGCTCGATGTCGACGAGATCAGGGTCGATTTGCCGCCGTCTGCGAGCATCTATTTCCAGGTCGGGTTCATTAACAAGAAGCTCGATATTGATCAGTTCAAGACTATCCATTCTTGCCGTGATTCCGTCACGGGTTCTCGTCTTGGATCCTTGAAACGGGTCTTCGAGGTAAGGAGCACTCTGCTAGGTATATTCTACCATTTTCTACTAGGTCTAGCGAGGAATTGGATATTGTTTATGAGAACTTCCTATCTATCGTAAGGTCCGGCCCAAAGTCAAATTTCCTGGTTTATAACGTCATATAAATAGTCATATGCTTGTTTAATTACCACGTAACTTCCCCATGTTTTCTTATCTACATTTTAATTTAACGAAAATGGTTGCGTAATGGGGTAAAGATGAACAATTTCTTTGTTAAATATTTGATTTGGGTGAAGTCTTGAATATTTTTCAGTGTTTCAACTCTTCTAATATTAACAGGACACTGATTTGTTTATTCGAATTTACCATATTTTTAAATGTTTTGTGACGTTGAAGTTAGGACACAGGAAGTCCATTATGGAGTTAAGGTTCTGCGATCTGTGATTGATGGGCTAGCTTGTGAAAAGGCTGGATTAGATTTGTAGCTGTGTCTCTTCTTCACATGGATTAGATTTGTAGTCATTCATGTTGCTCAAGTTGAACTTGAACTATCGCAATACGTGTTGCCTGACAGGTTTTGCGTATTGTGATTTCGAATTCCATATCAGTTCCAAATTTTGAGTGGAAATTTGCCAAATTGCTGTAGAAATAGGACAGATGAAATGATGAAGTCGTCCATGTAATCCTTGAAAAGAAGTGAATTGTAATCTGTCAAGGCGCATGTCCCAGTTTGGAAGATATTGATTCTATCTTTTGTACATGTTTTTAAACCAAATGACTAAACTCTTAATAGTTGACAGTCTAGAATTTTTTCCCACCTATTCATCTTGCCATCATTCAATTAATGAATGATCAGTCTTGTGAGATTTATGGTTTCCTCTGTGCATATTGAAACTTTTTGTCTGTCCTCTGAATAAAGTTACCATGAGAATATACAGGTATGAAGATACATCCCATTGATTTGTGATGATTTGTTTATCAATTTAGTTAAGAAAGGAAAATAACTGACAAATTTACGCTTAGCAAAATGCATGGCATTCAACAATGTAATGGATATGACTGCGGAACATCAAATAAGGTGCTTTTGTATGGGCTTATCGCCCTGCTCTTGAGTGCATTCCCTCATCGGCTGAACCTGGAAAGTTGTCTTAATCATTCACTGCATCGATTCTTCTATATTTTGGCATCTGGCCATTGAACTGGCAGCCTGGCAAAACTGTTGTTACAGGAATCACTGATCTTGAGGCCAAATATTAGTAGTATTTGATGGAAAAGTTATATGCTGAAATAATATATGAACCATTCATGCAGCAGCAGCAGCAGCAATAACAACAAGTCTTTCCGATTTGACCTTTCATTTCTTTGCCCTTATTTATTTTCAGCATAGAAGCACATGGCCACTATTTAATCCCTTAGTTTACCTTATCTTTTTTCCCTGGGATTCCCTTTGCAAATTTGCAGTCTTGCGAAAGACAAGTTTGCCAAAAACTAGATGCGTACACTTATTGAGGGTGCATGGTTTTATTAACTTATTTTGTGCAGCCTGTTTCCAGTTCCACTTCCCTCGTTTCTTCTTACTTGTCTTGGAACATTTCATTCATTCCTTAGTCTTGGCATCATCATTATTTAAATGCTGTTTGTCCGGCCTCTTCATATCAAACTCTGGATCATATTTACTAAATTTTTGTACAAATCTTACTTTTCCATGTTGCAGCTTCCAGCTCCTGTGGATGAAATTCCTATGCTACTTACAGAGTAGGCGCACGCTTATGTGGTTGCATGTCTTAATGGAGTAGCTTATCTCATCATGACTCAAAAGACGAGTCTGGTGTAATAGTCCTATCCCTAGAAAAACCTATATTGCCATCAATGTACATAATAAAGTCATCAAAAATAGACCGGATGGTGTTACATAGTGGTGTTGAACTGTGCTACAGATGCAATCTACAAGAGATCACAAAAGGCCTGTACTATATGCTGCTATACTAAACCTTGTATTCTCATGTACACTAGTTTTCTTAGTTGCAAGTGTTCCACCTTTGACCTATATTATAACTACGTTGCCTGTCAATTTTCTTTAGTCTCCTGTTCATATATTGTGTGATAATGATTGTATTTTATCCAAGATAGGTAGAGAGAAGTAAGGAAGAAAAGTCGTTATTAAATTATGAAATAAGTTAGCTTTATGAATTAATAAAGATGAAGGAAATTGTCTAGTGCAATATGAGTAGGGATCTTAAGCTCATACAATTAACAGTCTATGGAGAACCTCCAATGATGAAAACAATGCTAATTTTCACACACGGTTCCTTAATTTTAATGCAAACAGATGAGAATTTGGGGAGAGGACAAATATGAAAACAAATACATTTTTCATAGGACAAAGCGTACATCTGATGCGTAATGTCCAATTCATCCAATTCTGAAATTAGCATGTCATTTATTAGACATCGATAAGGTGATAATGATTTGAACTCGTAAGTTTACCGATATGAGCCGATTCCTTAATAACTGGATTAACTTTTATTTACCGAAGTGTTTTCTTTCATATTAGATGCTAGTATATATGAAGCATTAGACTTTTCATATGCATAACATAATAGCATTCTCATTCGTTACTAATGCATATTGGTTTTTGGATTAACCGGCTGGTTTTGCATGGATAATACTACCTTTGGTGTTTAATATTAAAGCTACATGACTAATTTATGAATATTAAAAAAATTAGTTATGTTAATTAGTTGTTCTTAAAATATTTTTATTAATTATGTGTATTGAAATTAATTGTTGATAAAAATTTCTCTAATCGTTATAGGGACTACTTAAAGACAAAATACATAAATATTGAAAACGAAATAGACTGAGATTTTATATTTATGATTAAATTAAATTTTCAACTAATTTTTATATTAGGGACTATAAGTAATAATATACTCCAAAAAAAAAAAAAGAAGAGTAAGCATCACATGAAAAAAAAAAAAACAATGGCGGTTAAAAACAAAATCTTTACACCAATAAAAGTCCCCTTTTACATTAATTTTCCAACTAGTGTAGATTAAAAAAACCAAACCGTCTCGCTCTTTATCTATGAAATTGCCGTCGATCTCACGTCTCAGTCTCTCACTTTAAATGTAGAGAAGCCGTTGCTAAAAAGACGTATTTTGCACAAGTGCATCGACCATTACAATTATATGAAATTAAAAAAAAAACAAAAAAGAAAAAGAAAAACTCAAAAAAATACTAAATAAAACTTCGTTATTATAGAGATACTGAAATGCCATTATAAGAGAAACATTTCAACTTAATAATAACATCATTACATAAAATTTCATAATTATATATATTTGCAAAATTAGGGGCACTTGGGTGTTCCTTCCTTGGTCTTCCAGTTGTTGTAGCAAGGACACTCCTCCTTGTGACCATATGTTCCTGAGGGTACACACAGGCATTTCTCACAACACAAGTTGCAGAAAGTTAAACATGCCTTTCTGTGCTGTGTCTTTGAACACCGATAGTCGCATGCCCCGGCACATTCTATGCAATTTGAAATTATTGAGCATCATTGGAATAAATTAATTAAAACATAAATATTATCCCCTTTATTGCTAAAAAAACTGAAGAAAAAAGATTAATTTGTCCGTATTTATAGTTTCATATTATTTTTAATCAAGTTTCTATAATTTTTTTCCTTATGGTTTTCTCAATTGTAAATAAGTGCTGCTTCGGATAAGGTTGTTGTACATCTCATTTATTGACGCATCAAAAAGTAAGGGTTGTCATTCCATTTTGAGTTTTTCTTGTTTAACCCAAAACCCACCACTGGTTAATCTGTAGATTAGCCTGTTTTATTTTTGAAAACGATTTTTAATTTTAAATAAAAGGAAGTTATTGTTTTGCACTTAATTTAAATATAACCTTCTTTTACGTTAAGAACATGATTTCATGCTGAATTTATTGATTTATCATTTTTATTGGTAGAGTGATTATGTAAATACATATGTTTATATTTGCAAATTTGGGGATTAATCTCGTTATATACTTTTACAAAATATAAAACATTTGAATTTAGTCTACAAAACTTTTTAATTTAATTATAAAATTAAAAAATAAAATAGGTCGGGAGGATATGATAAATTCAATTATTGGGATACAAATGAGATAGATAAGTTAAAAAGGAAAAAATTACGATTACTTACTAAAAAAATGAGATAAATTTATAGGTCTTTACATGTTAATTTTCTGAAAAAATTACTCAATATGATAACTTTAGGAAAAGGGAAAGATTAAGAAATTAAAAAATGGATTGAGTTAGATGATGCGATGGGAATTACGCTATATCACTTATAAAAATATTTGAATTTAAAATATAAAATGAAACAAGTTCTATTATTTAGGGTACTTGCGTTCGGGTCGAAGTGATCCTTCTCCCCCGGCCTGAACATTTTTGGGAAGGAATAAAAAGTAAATTAGTAATTAATGTAGTACAGAAAAATTATAACAATTCTGAGTGTATGTATGTGGACCAAAATTTAATTTAGATTACATATTTAAACGGTAATATGTATCATAGAAACAAAAGAATTAAATTATTTAGTGTTTTAAACATAGTCAATTTTTAAAAAATATTTGAAAATTCAACCACAGTTTCTTTTGTTTTTTTTTTTTTTTGCGTAACTATGAGTATCTTTAAATCATTTTAAACTTAAGACTAATCTTTGTTAAACCGAAAACATTAAAGTTAAAGTCCTAAAATTAAAGCCCTTCTAATAAGCAGACTTTGTGAGATTCGAACATAAATTCTCTTCCTTATAAGGATAAGATAATTTATTATCTCAACTAATAACTTGTCCATTAACTACAATTTTTTTAATTCACTATATGAATAATATAATTTATTGTTATATTGTTGTAAAGTTTTTCTTTTGCCAAACATGTTTTCGTAAAGTTCAAAACGTTAAGAAATTATCACATAAGTAACCATTTCACAATTTTGCAACACCAAAAGAGAGGTAGGTAATGAAAATGAGAAACTACAAATGCATAAAAGGAAACGAAATTAGAACCTTAACAAGAGGGTGAAGGTTCAAAATACCCCTTTCATCCTAAATATAAAGATCTAATGACGAGATTATTTTGATCTTAAATTTAAAACTTAATTCACATTTATCTTCCAAATATATAATATTTAATAGGTTAATACAAATTTTGATCCCTCAAATTTGTATTTATTTTGATTTTAGTCCCTCAAATTTCAAACCATAAGTCTTGATCCCTTAAGTGATAAAATGGTCTGGTTTTTTTATTAAATTATAGGAACAATATTTTAGACCAAAAAAACTTAGGGGACCAAAACCAAAATGAAGACAAACTTAAGAGATAAAAAATTATATTAACTCATTTATTTTAAGATATGTATCTGCAATAAATAATGAACAACTACTAATAAAGGAGTTATTTGCATAAACATAAGAATTTAAGAAAATTATTATAAAGTTTAAATGTTCAAGGAAGTTATGTATACATAACATAAAATGTAGGGAAGTTATCTGTGATTACTCATTAAAAAAATTAAGGAAGAGAGAAAAATGAACTCACATAAGCAACTTGAATCACAAACGCTGCAGCCAGGATGACAAGAAAGGCAGAGCGAAGAATCACAGTGTCTGCCATTGTGGTCTCTAATCTCTATTTGTTTCACTATGTTCTACTCCTCCGGTCCTAATTATAAGACCCAATTGACTTATTTGAGGAGATTAAGGAAGTAAGTTAAGTTGGTTATTTATAATAAATAAGTGTTGTCATTCCTAAAATATCCTTGCTAATTAAGTATATTGGCTAAAACTATCATTATTAGAAGGATTATCTTGGAAAAAAATGCATAAATATAAGAGACAAAATGGATTGGGTCTTATAATTAGGACCAAATAAAAAGTCAAATTGGGTCTTATAATAAGGA